GGCATTGCAGGTGCTGAGGGGCATGTCCCATATTAACAGCCGAGTATTCAGGAATCACCTCAGCGAGTTTTATCCTTTGATGACTAATCTCATGTGCTGCGAACAGGTAACCTCCAATTGAGTGTGTTTTTAAAAATAAAAAGAAAAAAATATATACTGTTTGGAATTGTGCAATGGCTACAAAATTTTGCTCCCTCTGATCATCAGCCTACTGCCGCTACTTCCATTTTATTCTTTGAAGAAATTTGAGTTATAATGCTCATGCATATATATATATCTTCAGATGGATGTACGTGGAGCTCTTGCCGATCTGTTAAGCATGCAGGTTAAAGCGCTGTTGGTGTAAAAATATTTCAAGCTGGGATGTGAGTGGAAGAAGTACAACGAAAGAGGCATGGAACGCAATAGGAAGCCATCGATTTGACGTGCAACTATGGATTTCTTAGCTTTTATTATTGCTACATTTTATGCCATAATAAGGTAGACTAGAGGTAAATTTAAGTAAAATTGTTTTTACTTGTTATACTTTGATGCACTGAATTTTGATCTTTACGAGACCTTTTAAAGAATCTATTTTTTTCTCAATAGAGATAAAATAAATTGTCACACTTCATGTTTTTTTCTTTAATTTTTTGATTATATTATATGATTAAAATATTATTTAAAAAAAAAAAATTTAAATGAGCAACACATTAAAAGAAATTTTTATTGTAGAAGGAAATACTCCTTTTGAAAATTGGGACATACCCTTCATTAGCATCTGCTGGGCAACCTGAATTGAGATGTAATATTCTATTTGTATAATAGACTCCTTATATTTGGCGTAATCTCTTTTAATATTATATTATTATTATATTAGATTATTATTTATATTTTTTTACTTTAATACTCACTTTCTAATGTGTAATGTTATCATATTTAAAATTTAAAATTTATTGCTATTTTTTTTTACATTTTTATAATTTTAATTGACTTTGACTTTTAAATATAATAATATGATGATAATTTTTTTTGAAGGGAATATGACGATAATATTTAATCTTATAGAAAATTATTAATTTGCTTACCTTCTCTATCCTTGCCAAATGATAAATTTTATGTGATGTTATTATTATGGAACATATATGGATTGTTGTTTTGTGTCAATGGTGACTGAACTAATGCCCCTAATATACGGGGTTAGTAATGTTTCTCATTTTTCTAAGTTTTTCTTTTTTAACATGTCACTATTTGATTGGATACTTTATATATTATTACAAGTTGTTTGGGTAAATGAAAAATAGAGGTAAAAAATATTTTTTTATACAGGCTAATATCTAACCTTGATTAACATTTAGAGTACTTTCATCATATTATTTATCGTCCATTGGAGTATTCTTATCATATTATTTGTTGCTTTTAATTTATATATGATATTTCATTATTGAGCATGCATCTAGTTAAGTGCATAAGTAGTTGATTTATATTTCAATTAATTAATGTTCAATTTGAAAAAGAGTAATTAATAATTAAAAAGCAAAACGTTTATATATGTTGGAAATTTTTGTGAGAAGGTGCATCTCTTATCCCTTGGACTTGGTTAGGAAACCTGCAGGCGGCAGTCGCCAACATGCTACTCCATCCCTTTCTTAACAGATTCTCTCATCATCCTCTCTCTCAAGACGTGGTTCTTCAATTCGTTAACCACATGGAAACACGATGGAATCCAGTTTCTTGTTCAATTCCATACATTCTTTCCTTTATCTCCAATGGAAAGTAATCTTTTTACTAACCTTAAAATTCTGCTATTAATACCCCATTCCTGAAGGGGCGCAGAGGAAAAAGAGGGATTATATATATTAACAACACAATACAACATTTCATAATTAAACATGGATTATCTTCCCTTATTTCCAAGGCTTTTATTCTTGGTCCTGTTCGTCATGGTGGTTGGCAATCAACAAAGTTCATTGTCAATAGTAGATGGCCTAGCATGCAATTTGGGCACGCGCTCGTCGCATCCCCTCCCAGGTGACATTGTAGTGAAGCTGATGAGGGACAGTGGGTTTAACAAAGTGAAACTCTTCGAGGCCGACCCTCTAATCTTGAAGGCCCTCGGAAGATCAGGCATTCAGGTCATGGTCGGGATTCCCAACGACATGTTAGCAGCCCTTGCTAGTACCGTCCAGGCTGCCGAAAATTGGGTATCTCAAAACGTGTCCTCGTTTATCTCGAGAAATGGTGTTGACATAAGGTTAAAATTTCTGTTTTAGATTACATTTTAGACATTTTTGGCTTTTAGTTTTAAACTGAAATGTGAAAATGTGAATTTTCTTATAAGGTATGTGGCGGTAGGAAATGAGCCATTCTTGAAAACCTACAAAGATAGATTCGTGCAAACATTGTTTCCAGCACTAAAGAATGTCCAGGCGGCCCTGATCAAAGCTGGTTTAGGGCGCCAGGTCAAGGTGACGGTCCCACTGAACGCTGACGTGTACGATACGCCGACCGGCGTGCCATCTGGCGGCAATTTCCGGTCCGACATACACCAGCTCATGGTCTCAATCGTCAAGTTCTTGAGCGACAATGGCGGTCCTCTCACCATTAACATCTACCCTTTCCTGAGCCTATACGCCGATCCCCATTTTCCGATCGATTATGCCTTCTTCAACGGCGCATCTTCTCCGGTGATCGACGGCTCCACTACTTACACCAACGTCTTGGATGCCAATTACGATACATTGGTATGGGCTCTGGAGAAAAACGGGTTCGGGTCGCTGCCCATAATCATCGGGGAAGTTGGGTGGCCCACAGACGGCGACAAGAACGCGAATATAGAGTATGCGCGGAAGTTCAATCAGGGACTAATGGACCGCATAATTCAAGGCCGTGGAACTCCAAAACGGCCGACGTCGCCGCCGGACGTGTATCTCTTCGGGCTCATTGACGAGGATGAGAAGAGCATTGACCCCGGGAACTTCGAGAGGCACTGGGGTTTGTTCAACTACGACGGCACAATCAAGTACCAGCTCAATTTGGGGAAAAACGGCAGCCTCACCCCCGCGAAGGGAGTCCGTTATTTATCCCGCCAGTGGTGCGTAATGGCGCCGGACGCCAATTTAATGGACCCTAACTTGCCGCAGAGCATCAATTACGCGTGCAGCTACGCCGATTGCACCAGCCTCGACTACGGCTCCTCCTGCGGCAGCCTGGACGCCCGCAGCAACGCTTCCTACGCCTTCAACATGTACTATCAGACAATGAATCAACAGAAAGGCGCCTGCGGCGATCAGTTCCACAACTTGTCGGTCTTAACGAGGATCGACCCGTCGCCGCCGCTGTCGTCACAGGGTCGGACGTGTCGATTTGAGATCATGATCGACACCGGCACGCACGAGAAAAGGTCTCCTTATCCCGGCACTTCCTCCGCCACAAAGAAGCATTCTTTTTCAGTTCTCATCGCCGCCTTACAAGCTGCATTCACACTGCTGCTCATCGCGACTGCACTTCCATGATCCCCGGCCGTAATTTGTTTTAGCAAATATATTTAATTTTTTTTTTATTATCTCGTCTGGTCCTCCAAATATCGATATTTTCTGATTGAGTATTAAATTAGTTATAAATTGTTAATTAAACCCCTTTCTAATGGCTATTGCATATTTGCATCCCTTCTAAGTATAGTGCCTTAATTCCCTTTCTTAAATCTTTGAACTATGTTTAATTTCATATTCATATCTTCAAGTATACCTCCTTTTGTGTTGATGGACACGCATGAATCTAAAATCCTTTTTACTTATATCCTATATAAAAAGTATTGGTGTATTAATACTAATAATTTTTTGATCTATATATAATATGAACTAATGGTTCAACCTTTTGGAAGAATATGATCAAGTAAGAGATTGTGCATACATGATAAGTATGCATAACAGAATTAGACAATTACAAAAAGAATATTCCTTAGTTTGAGTCTTGGATTAGCCTAAACTCAAAAAATAAAACATAACCTTTTTAAATTTAGGTTATCTCAACTTGCGGATTAATCCTAAGCTCACAAGACCTCGTCTATAGAGTCACTGGTCGCGCAACTGATAAGATCCTAGTTGTAGGTTATGTTTCACCAAATTGTGAAATTTTAGTTCCATAAAAATTTTTGTCAAAAAAAAAAATCATAAAATTCGATAGAAATATAATTACAAGAGTAAATACTCAAAATGGTCCCTCAACTATAGCTAAATTCACAAATTGGTCATCGACTTTCAATTTTTACCAATTAAGTCCTTAACTTCGTAATTTTAACACAATTTGGTCCTTCGAACACTTCTGCATTAACGCCGGCGCCGTCATCGACGATCTACAGAAGAACCCGCAGCTCTTACCGGAGCACATGGAGGCCTCCAGGATGACGCTGCACCGGTTCGGAAACACGTTGTCTTCTTCACTCTGGTACGAACTCAACTACATTGAATCCAAAGGGAGGATGAAGAAAGGCAACAGGATTTGGTAGATTGCTTTCGGCGGTGGATTTAAATGTAACAGTGCGATCTGAAAATGTAACCGGAGCCTTAAAAAGTCGACGATGGACCATGAAATTACATATATATCCTCAAAAATCACAGTCAACAAACGGTCAAATAGACGGAGGACCAAATCGTGTTAAAATTACAAAGTTAAGAACTTAATTAGTTAAAATTAAAAGTCAAGGACCAATTTGTGAATTTAGTTATAGTTAAGGGATCATTTTAAATATTTACTCTAATTACAATTATATTCTACCAAACACCCTTGTTCTATAATTGTATCACTAATACAAATAGAATGAATGATAAGGAATCTGATGGTCCTCAAATTGCTAATAAATATCCAGTTAGCTAAATTTTAGAGGAAAGAATAATTAGATTGAGCGGCAGGAGTGGAGCATTACTTTTTCTTGGACTATTTTTCCTTTACAGATACCCAACTATTCCACGGATCCATTCAATTTTAGACGACCATCCACCATTCTTTCTTCTTCAATCACAGGCATTCATAAATTCATTCGCTTCATGCATCTCTCCTTCCTTGGGTTGAGTTTCTTGTTCAAAATCACATTTTTGGATTGAAGAAACGATTCTTCTAGCATATTGTGTTGTTTTGGATTTGGGTTCGTAAGAGAAAAGACTTTTGTTTTCGAACTTTTTGTTTTTTTCCTCTCGCCGCCGACGCCATGGCTATAGCGGCGGGGGCTTCTTTCGTCTCGCCCGTTAAAACGGAGTCGCGGCGTTTGGGCGTTGGGCGGCCTTCCGTTGATGTGTGTGGTAATAATGGAAGGGTTGAATACGCCCGCCGCCCACCTTCTGTTCTCGTGCTTAGGGGTTGTTGCCCCGGCAACTCTTTGTCAAACGCCGCCGGGAATAGCCTTTATACCGGCGGTGGTATAAATAGCAGCAATAATGACTTCCTGCCTAGACCGCGGGCATTTCCTCTGCCCCATTTGCTTCGTGATTCGGAGGAGACTAAACTCGCTTCGGAGTTTTCTGATACCAAAAGCGAACCTTCTCACGAAGGAAGATTGATTGGATTCCCGCACCGTGATCCATCTGAGAAAATTGTCCTTGCTGTTGATATTGATGAGGGTACTACGCTCTTGTTTCCCTATTTTCTCTAGTTTTGATCAATTAAACAGATCACCTCTCTGCATATTCATGTATCAACCCTTTTCACACAAGCACAATGATGGAATCGCTTTCCTCTGGTAACTGTGTCTGTGGTAGGGATTGTTTGACATATCATTTTCTCCATTTTTGTTATTTGAAATGACAGCAATTTGTGCTGATTCTATGCTCATATATCTGCTATTCAAGTTGAAATATTTACCAAATTTGACCTACATTGTTGTCTCCAATGAGTTGTTTAATGAAATGGCTAATCATGTCTTCTTGTCTCGTTTGTTTGATCCGTTGTTTTCAATGATCTTTGTTTAATTTGATTTAGTTCTTCGTGCTAAGACACTCTGCCTTTCTACTTTTATATGCAGTTCTTGGAAACTTTGTATCGGCTATCAATCAGTTCATAGCTGATCGGTACTCATCGCATCACTCTGTATCTGAATATCATGTATATGAATTTGCGAAGGTACCATCTGTCAATCTTCTACTCGATTTTGGGGTTACTGCTGTACAATCTGCTGTCTTTTGCCCTGATAGGTGTCTCTGATTGCATAGAATCTGTTTGTTTTTTTTCCTTATATTCTTTTACCATGGAAGTATTGCTTTAACTATCAGGAATATGGAATTCAAAAACTTTCTAGGCTGTTAGTGCTCCAGTATTATCAATAAATAAAATAAACGAAAGTAAAAGAACCCCACTTTGTTGGAAATGCATTGTCATTATTGTGTCTCAGCTACACTTCCTGCATTTTAGTTTAAGTTATCCCCTCTATTACTATCATCATTCTTTAATTGCTAATGCTTTTACACAAAAATCAAACTTTATTTGTCCTATCTAATTGACCTTTGCTTTCTGTTGCAGATATGGAATTGCTCCAAGGATGAAGGTAAGATTGTCGTTTAAACAGAGACTTTGTACAGTCCTACAAAGAAAAAAAAGCTCTCAATATGTACAGAACTTTAAAATAGAGTGCATGATTGATAGTATTCATTGATGGTTATAGTAATTGGTTCCCTTCTTAAGTCCTAGTGTGGTTTATGCATTCAAAAACTGTATTCTATTTTGGATTGAGACATTGTATGGTTAGTTTGCTTATTGGTTTGTCTAATGTGATTTTTTTTTCCATGTAACAGCAAATGTTCGCGTTCATGAGTTCTTTGACTCGTCCTATTTCAAGACTGCAATCCATCCAATCCCGGGTGCTCAGCAAGCTCTGCAAAATCTATCCAAAGTTTGTAATATGTCGATAGTTACGTATGTATACCTTTCCTCCATTTCCTCCCCAGGTGATGACCTCTTGTTGTGATCACGAATTAAAGAGTGAAGTTAATGATCATTTGGTCACAGGTCTCGGCAATATGTAATTCAAGATCACACAATTCAGTGGATTGAGACACACTATCCTGGAATATTTCAGAAAATCCATTTCGGGAATCACTTTGCTTTAAACGGAAAATCCATATCCAAATCAGAGATTTGCAGGTACACCACCATCACAAAATTCTCTGTACATGCCATGGCAAACCTAAAAAAAAAACGAATTCTCTTGAATATTGACTGTCTAATGTTGTTGTCTTACTTCAATAAACTCATTGTATGTAATTTGGCCAACTAATTCTTTGTCCATTTAAAAAATGATTTCTATTGAAAAACCGATTATGGTAGGTCTTTGGGAGCAGAAGTCTTGATTGATGATAATCCAAGATATGCCATTGAGTGTGCAGAAGTCGGAATCAAAGTTCTTCTTTTCGACTACGAAAATTCATATCCATGGAGCAAGACAGAGCTAGTAGATGGACACCCTCTTGTCACCCGAGTCCATAATTGGGGAGAAGTTGAGCTCCAATTTGCGTCTTGGATCTTACCCAGTAATAACAATGTCATTCCAAACTAGGGTTCATAAACTATTAGTTCATGCACACACTTGCTGTACATTTCTTAACCCAATGTAAAAATGCTAGAACACTTATGCTAACTTTAAAGACTTTTTTGGGAATATTAACTTTAAAGACTTTTACTTAGTTCATATCTCAACTTCATTTTTTCTTCTTCTTCTTCAAAAAAAAAAACTTCATTTTCAGTTTTGCCACTTTCTTAGCCTGGTACGGTTTGAGATATATTTATAGTTTAATACTATATTTTCTCCATGGAACACAAGATATTTATAATCGAGCAAATATTAATTTTGGTTCTACGAGTTTTTTTTTTTTTTTTTTTTTGAATGCTACTAACTCTATTATATTGTAGTATCTGTTCAAACATACTTTAGCCTCATGACCTCCCACATGGGAGAGGTCACTACATGCTATCTGAACACAAGGTGCTTAATTATTCATGCTTAAATTAGGATCTTAATTTGAAAAAGACGAAAATACTCTTAACAATTTCATATTTTGACATATTTTAAATGGTAAATTTTGACACTAAAACAATATTTGTGAATGAAAATTGATACTAAAACAATAGTAATGGATAAAAATTGGTAGAAATTAAATGTGGACCAAAATTATTATTTTGCTAATACTCGTAGGACTAAACTTAGTATTTGTTTTTTATAATCTAATCCTGGATTATTTTTTTTTATAGTATTATCATACAATATAGTAGTATTTGTTCATAACTACTATCACTAGATTACAAGATGCTTGGCAATCATGCATTTAGTAGTTGTTACGAATTGAGTTAAAATTGACATATTTTGTCTTGACATAACAACGTGCATCGCGTAAGTGATAATCCAAACAAGACGTGTGACTCATTGACGGTGCCAAAATTTGGTCCAATTTTTGGGAAATCAGATTGAGACGTCTCTAACCCATTTTGACCGTATCAAAACTTTAATTTTACAGGTAGCAAAGTAGGCATGCATAATGCATTTGAGCCCTAACTTAATCAGAATGAGACGTCTCAACCTTCTAGCAATAATAATGGGCCGGGTGACGAGTAACAGAGAAACTATTGACAAGAATCCAAATTATATTTGGGATAAAAAGGAATCTGATACTGCATTACTGCATCTATTACCCATGAACGCGGTTTCACCCTTCCTTTTTAGGGTCCCACTAGCCATATACTCCATTTTCTCTTTTACCAATTAAGGATGAGAAAGTGAAATGCCATCTTTCAATCTTGTACGGTCTTTTCCCTTTGTCTTTCGCACAATAATTCACTGTCGGTTGTAGGCTTCTAGTTCTAGCATACTGTATCATTATTTGAAGGTATGTCATGGGTGAACTAGTCAGTAAAGAATACTACCACAATTTAATAGGATCACAAATAAATCAGATAAACCAGCTACTCAAACAAAAAATAAAAATAAAATCAATTAATATATAATTTTTACAAAAAAAAATTAAAATTTTATGCTACGTGACTCAAATAAAAAAAGTCAATATACAACTTTTAACCGAGAATGGAATTTGAAATTTTGACTTCATATATGCGAAATTTGATATAATATCTTATGGTTTTCGAGTAGTGGACTCAAATTTCTTTTTAGAAACAAATTAAAGTTGCATGACTGAGTGCATGGTATGCGCCATGCGGAATCTGACCTCGATCACAACATGATCTGACAGTCTGAAAATGTAAAATATATTATTCCAAATCCAAAAAGAAAAAGCAGCTGGAGCTTCTCATCTTTATCGCTCTTTCTGGATGCATTTTAGAATATAATATATGTACTGTGTGTGTATGTTCAAGAAAGATCGAACATCACAGCCTCACAGGGCCCTCTGCGACATATATAGCTTCAAAGTGTCAAAATTTGAGTAAGATAATTCTTAACAATATTAGTAATAAAGTTAGAGACCCGTTATATTACAGTTTTTTTGAACATGATCAAATATTAATAGTCCCTTTCCACCATAGACCAATCTCCAAATGAGAGTATTAATAACGGTTTAGTTTTAAGGTATTAACTCCTTCATAAAAGCTAACTCGAAAGTGTTTGTAGGGTTAACTGATCTGATCGTATTGACTCTAACAATAAGAAAATGAAAACTTTCGAGATCAGATTTCATACTTTAAAAAAAGAAAAGAAGAGAGAGCTTCACCGGTGGAAAGGAAGCCGGAGCAATAATAGCGGGCCGCCGTGCATGACTAACTATACCGTGGACCATAAATACTTAGTAAATATTTATTTTTAGTTTACTGATGATTCATTTTAATGTAAAAAAAAATCATTTTTAAATAATATATCAAATAATAAATTTTTAATAAGAAATAAATTTCAACAAATAAATATACTCATATGGCATGTACTAACATTTTCAATGTGGGAGATCATGAGATCGAGTCTCGTTGTAGACTCTGTGTGCTTTAGAAAGTATGTTTGAACAGATACTACAACTTAACAGAGTCAGCAGCATTAAAAAGTAAAAATAAACCTTACATAAGGTGAATTATGTATAATGAATGTGCATGCATGCAGCCGGCTGGCAGGAATCGACGAATTGAAGATCCGATCCTCCGCGTTTGGTTTATGACAACGAGTTAAAGCCTACCAGTCCAAATAAAGTAGTTGCCCAATTTTTTGTTTTCCTTTTTAATTGAAGTATTACTTGTCGAGTCCAAAAGATATAATACAAACACATGTCTTGTCTACTCTGAAAGTCTATATATACATACAGTTGCAGAGGAGAGTTACGATGTTGTGAGCGAGAAGTCAAACGTAGTAATTACACTCACCAAACCGTGCATGTTGGCCCTGTCTATTGTAGCTGCCACGTTTGAACACCGGCCTTGTGCTTCTGCTTCCTGACAACAGCAATGAATGCCGCTTCGAAATCATGACTTCTTTCATCACTTTAAGTGCTCCGTTTCGGTCTATCTGCGTTTTGTGCTAAAATTTATTATTGGAATTGAAATGGCTCATTCCTTGTCCCCTGCCTGCTTGTTTCTGGTAATCTTGTGTTTGTGTAATCTGTCCGGCGGCGGCGGAGTGGGGTTTGATCCGCCGGCGGCGGAGGTTTTGAAGGTTTCTGCGGCGGATTTCGTGGGGTCTTTGAAGACCACCATCGACGTTGTCCAGCAGGTCACGTCTGTGGTGGCAAAAGTTGGCAATGTTTTTGGTGATTTTAGGCTTTCTAATGCCGTCTCTGACTGCCTTGATTTGCTTGACCTCTCTGCCGATGAACTCTCCTCCACCCTCTCTGCATCTCAGAATCCTAATGGTATTTTTCTACCTACCATTTCTTAGAATTTAAGATTAATTAGATATTGTTGTGGAGCATATAACCATTAATGTGCAATCCAACTATTAGCTTAGGCTTTTAGTTGAGATGGAGTAATCACAATATAATGCTATTCAGTGTACATGCAAAGTTAAAGTTATAGATTTTTCTTGTCACTAACAGAAAAATTAGATTAATATGGAACCTGCATTATATGGGTGATGAGAGATTGCATTATATTGTTAACAGGTAAAAGGAAGAATAGCACGGGCAATCTGAGTGCTGATTTAAGGGCGTGGTTGAGCGGGGCGATGATCAATCAAGACACCTGCATTGAAGGCTTCGACGGCACCGATGGTCTGGTCAAGAATTTGGTCGCCGGAAGCCTAAACCAGATAGCTTCCTCCATCCGCGACGTTCTAGCCATGGTACGCCCGCCGATTCCCGGCCCCAAGTTTCAAGGCAGGAAGCTTAGAGAATTCCCTTCCTGGCTAAAATCTGGTGACCGGAGACTTCTACAGTCCAATGTGGTGGTGGCGGATGCTGTGGTGGCGCTTGACGGCACCGGGAATTTCACCTCCATCAAACACGCCATCTCCGCCGCCCCCGAACTCAGCTCCCGCCGCTACGTCATATATGTCAAGAAGGGAGTGTACAGAGAATATGTAGAGATTGGTAAGAAGAAATGGAACATAGTCCTCATCGGAGATGGCATGGATGTCACCGTCATTTCCGGCAACCGGAGCTACGTCGACGGCTGGACCACCTATAAATCTGCAACTTTCGGTAATTGCCTAAAAAAGAATTTTTATGAGATAAAATATTTTTTTAAATAAAATATATTAAAAAAAAAAAAAAAAAAAAAAAAACTCCCCACAAAATCTATAGTACTGTAATTACAATAGTGTACGACAGGATTTGAGCATGAAAACATTTCTTGTACGTATTATTTGTTTTCTCGTAGTACGGTTGTCGGTTGTTTCATCGTACATTAATATATTTTTGCAGCTGTGAAAGGCCAAGGGTTCATAGCACGCGACGTGACATTTGAGAACACGGCGGGGCCGGAAAAACACCAGGCGGTGGCATTCCGGTCAGATTCCGATTTGTCGGTGCTATTCCGGTGTGCAATAAGGGGCTACCAAGACACGCTCTACGCGCACTCCATGCGACAGTTCTACCGGGAGTGCAAGATCACCGGCACGGTAGACTTCATCTTCGGCGACAGCACGGCGGTGTTCCAGAACTGCGAAATCTCAGCCAGAAAGGGCCTCCCCAATCAAAAGAACACAATCACCGCGCACGGCCGGAAAGACCCGGCGGAACCCACCGGATTCTCCATCCAATTCTGTAACATCACGGCGGAGCCGGAGTTGCTGGCTGCCGGAAACTCCACCTCCTCGTACCTCGGCCGCCCGTGGAAGCTTTATTCACGCACGGTTTTCATGCAATCGTACATTAGCCGCGCGATCCGGCCCGAAGGGTGGCTGGAATGGGATGGGGATTATGCATTGGGCTCGCTGTTTTATGGGGAATTTTCAAACTACGGGCCCGGTGCGGGTTTGGGCAACCGAGTGAAGTGGCCCGGTTACCACCTTATGAATGAATCGGCCCAGGCCCATAATTTCACGGTGGCCGAGTTCATTTTGGGCAACTCGTGGTTGCCCTCGACCGGTGTGAAATACGCGGCCGGTTTAACGGTTTAAGTACGGTTCATCTGCCACTGTCCATTTTATTCATTTATGGTATTTAAATTTTAAATTCTTGGTTACCTTTCATGGAGGGTGACATTGATGGAGAATTCCCCTCGCCTCCACGTTCTTCCATAATTGCTTAGTTTGATATTAGCTGGAGTTGAATTGAGTCTAGTAAAGAGTGCATCGCAATTGGGGTGTTATTAAAAAAAAAAAAAAACTATTGGAATTGATACGGTTGGTTTTACTATGTGTAAAACTATTGTACCAACTTAGATTGTATTAATTACAATGGAAAACGATATCTTAAAACTGCTCTAAGAATTTTCTAATAGTACTTTTTATAAATGAAATAATGTGTCTTTTAAGTTTCAAACCATACTGAACTGAAATGATTATTTGAATCGAATTCGAATATCAAATTGTCTGGATCCAACCCATGAAATATCAATTCATTTAACTATGTTTGTTATACTAGATAAAATGAAAACAGGACATTGATGGGGGAAATGACATTTCCCAAAATTGTCACATTTGTTAACTTTTGATGATGACAAAATTTTACTTATTACCGGTAGGTGCATTGTCAACAAACTACATATGTACATGAAATGGAGCAAACGCTTTTGGAATCCCCGATACGTACAAGTGCGTGGAAAGTGTAGCTAAGAGCACGGAACTGAGGAATGGACAGAAAAGGGGACGGCTTCATCGCTAACATCCAACGGCGACGATACAATGGGGGAAAACGACATGGATTTTTTTCGCGTTGCGGTTTTCAATGTTGTCGGCCCAGTTCCTACATATGACATGCTAGAGTTCACATGCCATGTTTGATCACTCTTACTAAACTTGAATTCACGGGGGGTTTCGATATCGTCAACATATAAGATATTCTCTTATATAATTATTGTTATTGCTATTTTTATTATTTCTTTTATAAATTAGACACTTTAACTTGTGGCTAGTTGGCTACCTTTAAACTCAAGAGCCATTGTCTAATAATTATTGGAAGAAGTAAATAGTGAGCGCCTGACTAAGAACCTCAATGTGAAAGTTCACACTCTATTTATACATTCTGCACATAAGAGGTATTTATCTAATTTGATCACTCATGGTCTTATAATAATCTCATGTTCCTAGTGAATTCAAACTCTCATACTGTTGTTGAAAGAAGATTGCCTCATGTGGGATCCTTGCTTGGGACTCCATGTCGTGCTCTAAATTTTCAGTGTTTGTGGATATTCGTAGTGGCAATCAGTGATCCTCTTTGCAAAACTGTTGTGGCTAGGCATGATCACGGTTCGGTTCGAACGAAACCGTGTACTGTTGAACCGGAACTAGCTAGAATCGAACCGTTCGGACGGTTCCGATTCCGAATAAAGGAACCGGTCCGGTTCCAAACCAGAAAAAAATTAAAAAATATAGCTTTTTATTTTATAAATCCGTTTAGAATCGACGGTTCCGGTTGAACCGGGACCGCCGATTTATGAACTGAAATCGAAACCGAAACCTTACTATAAGGTTCCCGTTCCAATTTGACCATTTATGAAACCGGAACTGACGGTTCCGAACTAAAATCGAAAGCAGAATCGCAATCATCTCTAGTTGTGGCACATCTCATGGTTCCTGGGAAAATCAACCATCACATGAACCTATGAAAGGTGGCTAACATTTATTGCAAATCAATAAAAAAATTATATTTGAAAATCAATGTTAGAAATGGTATTAACTAGTTATTGCATTTATTGCAAAGTTGTAATATCATACTTCAATCATTATACAATTTGAAGCCAAAAGGGCAGCTCATCCTCTCACTTTCAATCCCACATTCTTAGAATTTTTTGCACTTATATATGATATATTTGTGCATATTTATAAAATTAAAATTATAATTTCACTCTTTATATAAAATTTTAAAAAAGAAATGACAATAATGATTCCTCCATTCTCTTGAGTAGGGTAGTATTACTGTAGTAGCAATAGAAAAAGTTTTTTTTTTTAAGAAACTTTGACAAGATATTTTGGAGGTAAAAATATCATGAGACATGAGGTACTTGGCAAATGCAAAAGTACCTCCGGCCATTATGTAATATGTACTATGCATGACAGCATGAGTATGGCAGACAACTTGGTGGGCCATCTCTGCTTTAATATAGATCACCCAAAAAGAAATGGCTAACAGTGATTCTTCCCTCCTCTCTAATGAAACCAAATTACCATTCATTACCTTAACTACGACCTTTTGGACTGATTAATTTGTCTACACAATAATTATAGGAAAAAAAAAAAAACGTCGGCAACATGCAGTGCACATGCAAAACGCATCGCCTGAATTTACTTTCTGTTCAATCACTCGTGTTAGTTCTTGTCTTTAATCATATTTTTACTTTTTTTTAATGGGAATATTCTTGAAACCTTAATCACTCCAACAACAAGAGTCTTATCATTCTTATTAAACTAAACCCAGTCTGCAGTCTGCACCAGAGATTTATTGGACTCATATGAAAAATGATAAAGTGATCAAATTCTGATGGGTTGGACTAGCTTAGTACGTAGAAGTTAGAACTCTTCCTTCAATTATAAGGTGAATAGGCATATTATGTTGTATGGTGCACACGGTTGTAAAAACGACGTCGTTTTGACTAAAAACACGCGTTTCACTTTAAAAAAAAAAAAGCAGTTTCGATTCCGGGTGACAGCATTATGTTGTGCATAATTGAATGAATGAACTAAAAATCCAGAATAAATGCACTAAATATCCAAAATGAATGAATTAAATGTAGCATGAATTAAAAAAAAAAAATCAGTTTCGATTTCAGTCTAAATATCCGGAATGAATGAACTAAAAATCCAGAATGAATGAACAATACAATGATGTTGAGGGGAATCGAAACTGAATTTCTTTTTTTTTAAAAAAAAAAAAAGTAGGATGCACGTTTTTAGTCAAAACGATGTCGTTTTTGCAACCGTGTGCACCATACACAGCATAACATTGTGGTGAATACGTGATGGTCCTAGATTTTATAATGTCACACTGATTCTCTGACACAAATGTAATAGTATAAATATGTCATTATAATTCATAACCATGTGAGGGAGCTATCAGCTATGGATGATTGACAGATCCATGCAGCTGCTAGCACAACTTGTTCTCCCATCCCAGAATGAAATCCTTGACCTTAATTCTTTACTATGTATTTTCAGTCTATATATATAGATAATACCCAGAAGAACAATCTGTATAAGTTTGTCTGAGTTGATCTATAATGGCCATGGCCTCCCCCATTCTTCACAAGCGTTTGCTTTTTCTTCTCCTTCTTCTTCTTCTCTCTGCCCATTTATTCTCAGCTAAAAGTGCAGATTTCAACAATTATCCCATCACTTCTGCGGCGAACTTCTGCAAGTCTACTCCTCACCCCGATGCTTGTTTGGACTCCATGAAACTTTCCATTTCCATAAACATAAGCCCAAACGTCTTGGACTTTCTCCTCCAGTCCCTGAAGACGGCGTTAACCCAAGCCGGGAAGTTGTCGGACCTGTTCGCCGTCGCCGGCTCCGGCGGGAATATCGTCGAGAAACAGAGGGGAACCGTTCAGGATTGCAGAGAGCTACACGAACGCACGGTTTCGTCGTTGAAAAAATCCGTTTCCAGGCTAAACTCGTCGCCGGACGCTAGGAAGATTGCGGACGCGAAGGCGTTTCTCAGCGCGGCGCTGACGAACAAAGCGACTTGCTTGGAAGGATTGGAATCGTCGTCGGGTCCGATGAAAACAACGTTGGTGGGTTCCATCGGGGACACCTACAAGTACGTCGCCAACAGTCTGTCGGCTCTCTCCCAGCCTGGCCACCGCGCGGCGAAAAAAAGCGTCGGTGATAACGGCGGGCGGCGGCGGCGACTGATGTCGGCGGATTTTCCGGGATGGCTGTCGAGTACGGACCGCCGCATCTTGGAGGATGACTACAACGATGACGGCCAGAGTGACACGCTGACGGTGGCGGCTGACGGGACGGGGAACTTCACGACCGTCACGGACGCCGTTAATTTTGCTCCGAATAACAGCGATGTACGAATCTTCATATACGTAAAACAAGGGGTGTATGAAGAAAATGTGGTGATTCCTGGCTGGAAGCCTAATATCGTTCTGCTAGGAGACGGAAGTAACGTCACTACCATCACCGGTAACAGAAGTATCGTCGGCGGCTGGACCACCTTCCGAACCGCCACCGTTGGTAACGTTAAATTAATGCGGTCCTATCTTAGAGTATAGAGCAAATATCAATTTTGGTCACATGAGTATTAATAATAACTGTTTTAGTTTACATATTTAATATCTACCAACTATTATTTTGTAAATACATGGATTAAAACTGTCATTTTGCTAATATCGGTGGGACCAAAATTGGTATTTGCTCTTAGGGTATAGAATTCTAGATTAATCCAAATCGGAAATACTGACCGGATTCAAAATTTTATCCACCAGCGGTTTCCGGCGACGGCTTCTTGGCGCGTGACATCGCTTTCGAGAACACGGCGGGGCCGGAGAACCACCAAGCCGTGGCCCTCCGGATCAACGCCGACTTAGCCGCCGTGTACAGGTGCACCATAGCCGGTTTCCAAGACTCGCTCTACGTACACTCGTTCCGCCAGTTCTACCGGGAATGCGACATCTACGGCACCATAGATTACATCTTCGGCAACGCCGCCGCCGTCTTCCAAGGCTGCAACATCGTCTCCAGAATGCCGATGCTCGGCCAATTCACCGTCATCACCGCCCAATCCCGCGACAGCCCATTCGAAGTCACCGGAATCGCCATACAAAACTGCTCGATCCTCGCAACCTACGACCTGTACAATAATTCGAACGCCGTCAAGAGCTACCTCGGCCGGCCGTGGCAAAACTACTCCGTTACGGTGTACATGGAATCCTACATTGACGATTTCATAGAACCCGAAGGGTGGACGAACTGGGTCGGCGATGACGGGCTGGACACGTTATACTATGGAGAGTATGAAAACAATGGTCCGGGTTCGGGCACGGACAATCGGGTCGGTTGGGCGGGCTTTCATGTTATGGATTATAATGATGCCTTGAACTACACTGTGTCGGAGTTCATCACCGGAGATGAATGGTTGGATTCTACTTCCTTCCCATATGATGGTGGGATATAATTTTTATTTTAATATTAAATAATCACTAAGCTCAAGTGGAAATAGTGGATAATATAATTTTGATTTCTAAGTTTACGGCAATTTATTGCTAAGTAAATACATAAATGTCTCCGAGGATATTGGTCCACTAATAGGGCACTATCATAGTTTTTATAGTTTGTTCTCTTTGTATGCAAACCAAAAAAAGCTTTCATATATATAATGATAATGGATAACAATTACTCCCTCCGTCCCTAATTGATTGTCTCATTTGTTTTTTGCACGATTTTTAATACAACAAAACAAATGTTACGAACTTTTCAATTTTACCTCTCAAAAGTAGGTGTTATTTGTACAAAGTACATTGTACTTACCTCATTAATTGTCTAGAAATTTGAAAAGTCAAAAGGGTAAATTGGAAAGGGTGTTGCTATTTGCACCACCCTTTGACCAAAAGTGGGTATAAAGTATCTTGAAATTGTAAAAAGGTAAAAACTTTTAATAATTACATAGGTGGTGTAAATAGCCAAATGATGGTTCATTTTGTTATTTGCATCACCTTGGTCAAACCTCATTTATGAGGTGTAATTAATAATATTTTAATTCAAAACCTAATTAATTAAAATATTAATTTTTTTTTTTGAAAAAAAAAAAAGATGAACCCCGTCACTGTTTTGCTCTTTTTTTTTCTTTTTCTTTTTTTGGTTTGTTTTAATGCCTAATTATTTATGCAATTTTTTTTTAAGTTTTTATTTTTAATAAATATTTTTTTTAAGTTTCTATTTTCAATACATCTTTTTTTTTCAATATATATATTTTTTGTTTAATACATCTTTATTTTTTAAGTTACTAATTTTAATACATTTTTTTTTAAGTTTCTAATTTTAATACATATTTTTAAGTTTATAATTACAATACATATTTGTGGTGTAGAGAATACAAATTGGACTCATATGACTCTATATATATGTGGGGTGTGTGTTATTATATGTATCACACAATCTAAGTCATGGATGATTGGATAGAAGATTTTTTTAGTTACAATAATCAGAATCAAAGCCAGTTACTTAGTTACAATGATCAAAATCAAAGTCAAGGACATTATGAGGTATTTCAAGTTGTTATTTGAATTGTTAATGAATTGTTATTTATTTCTATGGGTGTTGCTATTTGTATTTTAAGCCAGTTTGTTACGTTCTTGCTTGCTAGGTAATTAGGACTCATTTAAATTAGATATAATTTCTCAATTGACTAAATAACAATCTCTTTGTTCCATGTCAAGAGAGAAAATTATAGTATTAATCAATTTAGTGAATATAGTTGTAAATTAAGCAATTTATTGTATTTACAATATAAAAAGATAGGTAGAATATAATTGAATTGTTAATGAATTGTTATTTATTTCTATGGGGGTTGCTATTTGTATTTTAAGCCACTTTGTTCTTGCTTGCTAGGTAATTAGGACTCATTTAAATTAGATATAATTTCTCAATTGACTAAATAACAATCTCTTTGTTCCATTTCAAGAGACAAAATTATAGTATAAAGAGTACTGAATTTGGAATTTTATTTATTGGGTGACTGGTGAGTCTATCTATATATATACTGAATTAATTTAATTTGTTGTGAATATAGTTGTAAATTAATCAATTTATTGTATTTACAGTATAAAAAGATAGGTAAAAAATCAATTTATTGAGTAATATAGAGTACATAGAGCAATATATACTACAAAGAATACACAATTGTAGGAAACTATTCTACAGAGACTGAAGGACAACCATAAATACAAAATTCAAAATAGAAAGAGTGTAGGAACGCATGTAGTAGACTTATTTTATGATTAGAAACCTTGACCTCCACTTATTTTATGATTAAAATTTTAATTAAATCAAAATTGTTAGAACTCTAACCCACATATCTTTATAAAATTGTTACAGTATTTACAGTATAAAAAGATAAGTAGAAAATCAATTTATATTTTAAAACTTAAAAAAAAGATGTATTGAAAAAAAAAAAAAAGATGTATTGAAAATAGAAACTTAAAAAAAAAAGAGATTGATTATTAAATAAAAAAATAAAAATTAATGTTTGACTATATTTAATGAGGTGGTGCAAATAGCACTTTTTTATTTGCACCACCTATAAAGCTATTATACCTATTAAATATGGGGTGTAAATAGCAAAATGGGTGGTGCAAATAGAATTTCCCATTGGAAAATGTAGAATAATAGTTATGTTCAATTTTGGAAAGTGGACACTATTTTGGGACAAACGAAAAAAGGAAAGTAAGACACATCAAATGGGACGGAGGGAGTACTTCATAAAAATTTATGTTTAATAATTTAAGATGTGTATCTTGTCAGATCAAGGTGTAGGCGTTTTGACGCGACAGAATTTTATCTTTTTGTAAGTAAAACTATGATTAATAATTTAAAATGTGTATTTTTTTTTTTTTTGAAAATAAAAATCAGAAATATTGAATATAATAAGGAATAAAAGACAACCAAATGTATGAAAGAGAATCTAAAGCTCTAGCAATGGAGTGAGCAAGCACATACATTGATCTATGAATATGACAAAGTGACATTGTATGATTTGTATTAAAGTGCCTAACAAGTAAACAACAGCTTGTGACAATACAACCAGCGCAAGAACGATCCAATGCATTAAATGCATATTTGAACTGTATTTGTTACTATTAATCGTAAACTATATGTATTATTAGAATTGTATTAATAATAAGTATATATTTATTTACTCAATTCCTAGTTATTGTCCCGGTTTTACATAATATTTAAAACATAATATTTATCGAATTCTTTTTTCAATTAGGCTCTAATTTTGTATTTGCCAGGTAGTGTAAAAGGGAGTGAGAGTAAATTGGTCATTTGGGTGACTCATATTTAAGTTTATTCACTCAATTGTTAAACTATAGATATATCCCTTTACTTTACTTATTTTAGTTCAACTTGCCTATTACCATCAACACATATATGCAAGACTCTCACAAAGAATTAACAACGCCTCCACTGAAGTTTGATCTCATGACCTCCTATATGGAATATGTCACTACATGTCTGAGCATAATGTGTTTGACTTAATAAATAAATATTATTCAACAAATGCATGATTAGTCAATTATAACGGTGTACATTAACATCAACAAAGTTGTTTTTTTCTTAATATTATCAAATAAATGCATAATTGGTCAATTTTAATCGTGTATATTAACATCAACAAAGATATTCATAGATTTACGCGGTGAGCTACCAAACAACAATGAAGCTCAACTTTTCGTGGTTGTATTATAGTCAAGATTGTCTGTTGTTTTTTGTTGCTATGCCATGACTGATACATTTTATAGGCGAATGAAATCTGACAGCAGTTTCAATTTTGACGCATACTAATTTAATGTTTGGGTGTGAGAAAAAAGAATAAGCGATATGTAACGGGCTAGGAGCCCAAATAAAAACTTCAATTCAATACGTTTGATTAGTAATCTTTTTAATTACTGATGATTTTGTTGGATTAGGCCCACCTTAAATTGAGTTACAATTTCGGGTAATGAACTTGTTGAATGAATAAAACCAATTGGACCGTTAACAAAGTCCTTTAATTTGAAATATAAATATTAGAAATCAATGGGTTCGATAAATGCCCAATAGTTACGTTAAACCATACACATGGTGAACACGTGATAGATTCATAATTTCTAAGCTGTAGATTCATAATTTCTAAGCTGTAGATTCATAATTTCTATACTGTAAATTTATAACATATATACTGTAGATTCATAATTTATAGATTCATAATTTCTATACTGTAGATTCATAATTTCTACAGTATAGATGTTAAGAATCTACAGCATAGAAATTATGGATCTATCCCTGTGTTCACTATGCGCATGGTGAACACGTTTTCACAACATAATTTGCGATAAATGTCCGCAAATTATATTGTGAAATCGTGTCCATCTTGTAAGGTAGACGCACTTCTAAAATTGTCATAATTGTGAATATAGAGTTCACAAATTATGAACATATAGTTCTATAATTATGAACATAGAGTTATATAATTATGAACATAGAGTTCTGTAATTGTGAATATAATGTTCAATAATTGTGAATATGAAGTTCAAAAATTATGAACATAAAATTTTATAATTATGAACATTTTGTTTTGTAAATGTAAACATAGAGTTTTATAATTGTGAAAATAGAGTTTAATAATTGTGAATATGAACCTCAAAAATTAGGAACATAGAGTTTTATAATTATGAATATAGAACCATGCATGTTCAACTTGCAAGGTGGACACGGTTTCATGGCATAGGGAGGGGAACATTAACATGTTGTGATTAGTTTTATGATAAAGAAAACAACATTTTTATTGTGATCCAAGGCACTAGGATCTGAATAATCCATTGCCTCTGCACTCCTACAATTTCTCCAGTACTCCAGTCCCACTCCACCAGACATACACACAAATCATGGCTCCCAACCCTTCAACAAAAGCCATACCTCCCAACCCATTTTCTACCGCTTCGCTTATGATCTGCCTTGGGTTGCCTTAGTTTGTGATCCAAGGCAGATTGACGATCTGACCTGCCGCCGCCGTCGTCCCCCCGACATGGCTTTCCAAGACTTTGACCTCATCTCCGAGCGGCGCAAAGCCGAGAGGAGGAAGAAGCTCCAGATGAAAATCGCCATTGCGGTTGTTCTCATTCTCATCCTCCTCGTCGCCCTCGCTGCTGCGGTCTTCTATTTTGTGATGGTCATGGAAAAGGACGACGGCCATAAAAGGTCAGGGACGAAATCCAAGACCACGCCGTTGGACTCGGGGAAATCCGTCGGCGAGTCCGTCAAAGCGTTGTGCCACGGGACGGATTTCGAGGACACGTGCGAGCGTACCCTTTCGACGGCGGGGGAGGATGACGACTCCGCCCCGAAAAAACCCAAGGAGCTTCTTAGGATTTCAATGGTGGCGGCGGGGAAAGAGATGGACAAAGCAGTCAAAAAATCCGGCGAGGTCAAGCAAGACACGCCGCTGAAGAAGGCGGCGGCGAAGGATTGCGCCGAGCTCCTCAAGGACGCCAAGGACGATCTCGACACCGCCATTGCAAGCATCAAAGGAGACAAAATCGGAAATTTCTCCTCGCACGCCGCCGATCTCGACAACTGGTTGAGCGCCGTCATGACCTACCAAGACACGTGCATTGACGGGTTCCCGGACGGCGAAGAAAAGACGGCGATGGAGAAATCCCTCAAGACCGCCAAGGAACTCGGCAGCAACGCTCTCGCCATTGTCTCCCAGCTCGCTTCAGTCCTTTCCACGTTCGAACCCTCAGAATCTCACGCCAAGCGACGCCTTTTAGCCGACGGGGTCCCTGAATGGATGAACGATGAACAACGCAGAATGCTAAAGGCCGATATTCCCAAGCAACCCCCCAACGCCACCGTCGCAAAAGACGGTAGCGGAAAATTTTCCACCATTAATGCAGCACTAAAGGCAATGCCGGCGAAGTACAAAGGACGGTACGTGCGTACCTTCCATGCATGCATGGCATTAACTATATATTCTGTTAGTATACTAAACCTGCAGCTGAAACATGATATGCATGATTGCAGGTACGTAATTTTTGTCAAAGCAGGAATTTATGATGAAAGCGTAGTAGTGACGAAAAAGATGGTAAATGTAACCATGTATGGTGATGGATCTCAGAAGACTATAGTCACTGGAAAGAAAAGCTTGGCAGATGGACTTTCCACATACCAAACTGCAACCTTTGGTAAGTAGAAAATGGATTCTTTGTGATATTCCAGCCAGCCAAATTGATCAAGTTGATAACTTATAAATCACAAAGTTACAAGCTTAATTCTCAATCAAAGCAATTTTTGTTTGAGCAAATCAGCTATGTGTAACAAAAATGGATTACTTATTGTGGTCCTGTTAAGGTTACAAAATGACTACACAACTTAGACTGATTTAATTATCCCATTTGACTTCGCAATCTAAGTTGTTTTATCCTTGGTGAATGAACAACTTAGGCTGATTTTGCAGGATATAGTCACAAGACATGATTTGATACTTTATTTAAAAGTTGATGGTATATATTATGAAATACAATTTTTAATTTTTTTTTGGGTATAATTACATCGATCAGCTGTTGTGGGAGAAGGGTTCATGGCACAATTCATCGGATTCCGGAACACAGCGGGGCCGGAGAAGCACCAAGCGGTGGCGCTGAGAGTGGAAGCAGATAAATCAGTGTTTCTAAATTGCCGTATGGAAGGCTACCAAGAGACGCTCTACGTTCACACTCACCGGCAGTTCTACCGAGGATGCTACATCACCGGCACCGTCGACTTCATTTTCGGCAACGCGGCGGCGGTTTTCCAGAACTGCGAGATGGTCGTGCGGAAGCCGATCGAAAACCAGCAGAACACCGTGACGGCGCAAGGACGGACGGACAAGCGCCAAACCACCGGATTCGTGCTGCAGAACTGCCAAATTTTGGCGGACGACCATCTCGTCCCCCATAAGGCGAAATTCAAGAGCTATTTGGGGCGGCCGTGGAAGGAATATTCCAGAACGATCGTCATGGAAACGGAGATCGGCGATTTAATCGAACCCGAGGGATGGAAGCCGTGGAAAGGCGATTTTGCGCTGAAGACGCTGTACTACGCCGAGTACCAAAATACCGGGCCGGGCTCGACCCTATTGAAACGGGTGAAATGGCCCGGATACCAGGGCGCCATTAAGAAAGATGAGGCCACGAGATACACGGTTGAGAGCTTCATACAAGGAGATACTTGGGTTAAGGCTTTAGAATGTCCGGTTCATTTGGGCCTCACCAACTAATAACTCAATCAAGAAGTTTCTTTGTTGCGATGATCCATTTGCAACTTCTTGAAATGCATTTATATTTCAACATTACCACCTGTTGTATACTACATACCCTGAAATGATTATGCATTTCGAGTTGCATGAGTTTTGTATTCATATCACTGCCCTCATACCCTATTTGGGTTGCAGGGCAGTATAGGAGAATGAGAGAATCCACACATTTATATATGTCAAGCCCAGAAAGATTATTTTTGTGATTTATAAATTGACGTTGAGTGAAACTATAAACTATATATGTTAAGGCTTTTAATTTTGTGGATCGAGTACAGAGGATATTGAGTCACCCTGCCATTATTTTGTCGGGTTTGTTGCACATATAATATATAGGCTCTGTTTGGCAGAGCTTATTTAGGAGCTTATACCTTATTTTAAGCTACTAATAAGCTATAAGCTCTGTTTGGTAATGTTTTCAAAATAAGCTCCTAGCTTAAAATAAGAGCTTATTTTGGAACGCTACCTAAGGTAGCGTTTCAAAATAAGCTCCTAGCTTCCTAACTTTTTTTCCATTTTTATCTTTATTATTTTAAAGAAATGACATAATTTACCCTTCCTAATTAAAACCCTTTTCTCTTCTCCTTTATCCGCAACTTTTACTTTTCACCGCAAATATTATTATTATTATTATTATTATTATTATTATTATTATTATTATTATTATTATTGTTATGAGATTTGCAACAATATTGCTACTTCATTATGAGATGCAAGATCATGATTATGCTAATAGTTTTATTTCAAAATGTTAATTTTTTTTTAAATAAAATTTTAAATTTTAATATGTAAACAAACTAATTTAAATTTTATGAAGATGTCCTTTTTAGTCTTTTTACATTTATCAGCTTATCAAAAAGCTAATTTTACCAAACACTTTCAATCATAACAGCTAGCTTAACAGCTCTTCAGTTTTCAGCTCCGAGCTTATAGTTTTTCAACTTTCAGCTCATTTTCAGCTTTCAGCTCCGAGCTTATAGCTTTTCAGCTAGGTTTGCCAAACAGAGCCATAAATATAAATGTGCAATCGAATTATAAGTTTAGATTTTTAGTTGAGATGATCACATGCTTCAATTTGGTATCCGTTATGGGTTCGAATCAGATTTTGCCTTATTGAATGGTTCCTAGGAGTGGGAAGGGCGCGTAAACCAAGGGTAAGCGGAGAACTAATTGATATGCATTAATAAGTTAAAAATTTGAGCATGCATATCCCCATATCAAGTGATGAATTTCAAATTTCGGCATTGTGAAGATTATGCTTAAAGTGGGTAGATCCCTGGTTCGCATCCGCATTTGATCATGTTTGCTGAGTTATTGAATCACTGTGATTTATGTCTTCTCAAATGCTCTGTCGAGCTGGATGTGGAGGATCCTTGAGGTTGGGGATTCAACGTTTTGGGAGAAGAAGAGACCTACACCTAGGCTAACTAATTCAATATATTCATGTTGGTGTATTAGTGTATAAAGGTATGTAATTTATTACGAAGTATATTTTTAGAGTTTTATCTTGAAATTATTAATAATTGTCAGCTAATTTGAGTTGTCGTGTAATTTCATTCATATTTGGTCAGGAGCTAGGTATTAGAATGTTGGAAATTGGTGAATAAATCGATACACAACATATATATAAAATATATATTTGTCCCGAAAAAAAGGAATTTAATTTATAGAAAATTAATTCCAACCAATTTTGGTACGAAGCCAAAATTACATATATATATACCTCATATATATATATATTAACCAACTAGGGATTTATTTTATCAAAATAATCTCACTACAACTAGTACGAAACTAGTACACGGGACTTAATTTCCACGAAATTAATCCCACCACAACTAGTACAAAACTAGTACAAGGATTTAATCTATCTAAGATTAATCCCACCACTTGGTCCGAAACCAAAAACAAAATAAAAGCAAGAACGGGTTTCTAACCTGTGGTTTTAACCCAACGAGAAGAAAGATGAAGCAGAGGAAGCCCGAGTCGTGTGTACACACACTCTCCTTAAAACCGATTCGCCACATCCCGAGGGTGCTAGGATCGTTGTGGCGTCAATCTCCCAGGATAAAACGGACTACGACTTTGGCGTTCGAGCACTCCAACCCAAAGCCCGGCGAACTAGAACACAAGCTGAGCACTCCAATGTTTTACGGAAGATGTTGGCAGAAATTTCCCTTTGTAAATGAGAAGAGAGATGAGAGAAAACAAAAACAAAAGTTTTCTTTTTGTTTCAAAAACCGGAGTGAAAAAAACATTCTGCCAACATTCACAACTATTTGTAAGGGAAAAAGGAATTAAAACATTATAATGGCCATTAATCCAATCATAAATCCAAGATTTAATAATTGGATAATAACGTTTGAAACGGTCATACTTATTATCGAAATAATATCAACGGTCACGAACTTAATACGCGATTAATTCGTACCGACCATAACGACCCGTTTCAAAATATCTGAGTGACCGAGAAGTCCATACAAACCCGAAAGTTAAACAAATTGGGACCGGAAACCACACCTGAGTGGTCCGCAAGCACCGAAACGATGCAGCACGAATCAATGCATTATAGCATTTGACTCGTGCACACCGAATCCACAACACGAAATGAGCTGCTTTGGAATCCAAAGCTTAAGCTCCATTCGTGCACAACTTTCGTCCATGCACAAAGCATAGCACGAAAGTTCACTTTCCCAATTCACTGATTAAGCTTTCAAACTTAATCATTCTTTAAGCTATCAAAGCTTAACCACAACACTTAAGCTTAATCAAGCTTACTTTCTTGCACACCTCGTGTACAACGAAACAAGCTTAATAACGAATTGCTAATTTAATTAGCAATTAGCTTAAGATTTCGGCTTCTCTCAAATAGGTTCACCTTGAGAATCAATTTCTCATTCACCTATTACCCATTTTGAGCGTACATTATATCAAATTCTTCGTCTCACTACGAAGAACCCGAATCCACTTTGATCTCGTCATGGATCTTAGCTATCACAAATCGTTTCGAGAATTTCCATACAACCAACTGCACTGGCCTACGTAAACACGTAGCCTTCAATGGATTTAATGTCCTTTGATATCTTTTAACGTGCTATATTTTCCAAATACAGCTAGATATCCCACGTAGTGCAGTCCAAAGTCACGAGCATACCTTAAGTATCTCATAACTTCCACTATTGCCTTCTAGTGCGTATCACTAGGGTTACTCGTATGTCTACCGAGTTTTTTAACCACAAGGCAATATCCGTCGTAGTACCACCCATTTGATACAATTAAACTACCAATATTCTGGATGTATTCTCCGTGAGAAATACAAACTCCGTGATTATTGGCTAGTTGTACGTTAGTATCTAATGGTGTCCAAGCCACTTGATTATCATCCTTTGCAAGGATTCAATCACACAATGAGATTGGCTTAACACGAGACCATATGGTCTTCTCACGATTTTAATCTCGAAGATTAAATCTGCCAAACTCACACCTCTCATGTCAAATCTCAAATTTAACATGTTCCTGGTAGAATTGATCCTTTGATCGTTACTACCCACGATGAGTTTATCGTGTATAAACAAATAATGATATCACCGTCTATCGTATCCATTACGTAGACACACTTTTCACTTTCGTTTATACTAAACTCGTTGGTTATCATTGCATGATCAAACTTCACGTGCCAATCCTTAGGCAATTGTTTTAAACCATACAACGATTTCACCAATCACACACTTTCTTTCTATAGCATGGAACCACAAAACCCTCAGGTCGTTCCATGTCTATTAAGAAAGTGATTTTCCACATCCATTTGATGAACTTCCAAGTCTCGCTAAGCAGCTATGGCAAGTATCATTCTAATGGATTTCATTCTCATCACAAGAGAATATATATCGAAGTAACCGTGGCTCTCGTGTTGCATGTAATCTACAATTACACGCCCGGCCATTTACTTCAATATAACCAACCAGTTTTTATCTTCCGACACGTGATCCACTAAGATCCAGAGGTTTTACAACCCGGAGGAAGAACAACCAGTTTCAAGTATGATTCTTTAAGATAGAATCTACTTCACCTCGGTAGCCTCTCTCGTGTTGGTCCATCTGTAGAAGTCACCACTTCTACATATGTTCGAGGCTCATTTTCTAACAACCATGTCAGAAAATCTGGTTCATTTTCTTGTAAACAAGTTAGAATATGCGCATCACATTCTAACATGTACGTCAGAAAATATGGACCAAAGGATTTTTCAATCCTAGCTCTCTTGCTACGTCTAGCTTCGAGCTCGGGTTCTCTTTCATAACCTCTAACCATAGCTACGCCAAAAGTTCCTTTCAACGTGCTAGGTCCTTTATTGAACCTTCAAAAACACATCTTCCAAGAACGATGAATTTCTTGATTCAATTTATGGTGTTCTTATGTACGTCCAAAACATAGGACTCGTGTACTAAGAACCAAAAAAACGCCTTTGGCAAGACACCCCCACATTTCAGCTATTGGTAGGAAAGCTTCCTACGTACCCATAACCCATAAGAAGCCTTATCGAGTTTCATGTGGGTAACCTTATTTAAAAGGTACTTACTTGTCCAAAGTCTTGTCTCACCCCACACATTTTGAGGTAGACCCGAACTTACCAACGTCTTGATATTTATGTTCGGCAACAACATTCGATTGAAGTGAATACCGTGTCGTACGCTCGAGTACGATACCAATGCTTGCGCAGAAATCACCAATAGGTGTTTCATATTCACCACATCGATCGTTTCTAACCGCCTTAATTCCACGATTAAGTTGGTTTTCCACTTTATTCTTATAAAGAATAAATTTATCAACGACATCGTTTTTGCTCTCAAGCAAAATTCACTTAGCACTATTGAGTGCTATCGTTGATACTCTGAGAAGTACATCCAAGATGTCACCCGAAGGTTATGTACCTCCACTTCTCGATAACTCGCCTATGACCGAAATGTACGTTTACTTCTCAATCACATGGCCTAGAGGTGCTTCTAGCACTTCTCAGACCCGAGATGTGCACTTCACTTCTCGGTGGTTTTGCCACATCACAAATATCATATTTGTGCTTATCATAAAATTTGGAA